GTGTCTCTCGGGGTCTGTGTGTTGTTTTCGGGGTCTGTGTGTGTCCTTCGGGGTCTGTGTGTGTCTTTTTGGGGTTGTGTGTGTTGTCTCTTTGGGGTCTGTGTTTGTGTCTCTCGGGGTCTGTGTTTTTTTTTTCGGGGTGTGTGTGTGTTTTCAGGGTCTGTTTTTGTGTCTTTTGGGGGTTGTGTGTTTTTTTTGGTTGTGTTTTTGTCTCTTCGGGGTGTGTGTTTTTTTTGTCTCTCGGGGTCTGTGTGTCTCTCGGGGTTGTCTTTTGTGTTTTTTTTGGGGTCTTGTGTGTTTTTCTCTCGGGGTTTTGTGTGTGTTTCTCTCGGGGTCTGTGTGTGTCTCTCGGGGTCTGTGTGTGTCTCTGGGGTGTGTGTGTCTCTCGGGGTCTGTGTGTGTCTCTCGGGGTCTGTTGTTTGGGTTTGTGTGTTGTGTGGGTGTGTGTTGTTTTTTCGGGGTGTGTGTGTGTCTCTCGGTGTGTGTGTGTGTGTCTCTCGGGGTCTGTGTGTGTCTCGGGGTCTGTGTTTGTCTCGGGGTCTGTTTGTGTTTCTCGGGGGTCTGTGTGTGTCTTTTTTCTCGGGGTCTGTGTGTGTCTCTCGGGGTCTGTGTGTGTCTCTCGGGGTCTGTGTGTGTCTTTTGGGGGGGTGTGTGTGTGTCTTTTCTTTTTGTGTGTGTGTCTCTCTCTTTTTTTTTGTGTTGTGTCTCTCGTGGTCTGTGTGTGTGTCTCTCGGGTTGTCTGTGTGTGTCTCTTCGGGGTTTGTGTTGTCTCTCGGGGTGTGTGTGTGTCTCTCGGGGTGTGTGTGTGTCTCTCGGGGTTGTGTGTGTCTCTCGGGGTGTGTGTGTGTGTCTCTCGGGGTGTGTGTGTCTCGGGGTCTGTGTGTGTCTCGGGGTCTGTGTGTGTCTCTTAAAACCTGTGTGTGTCTCTCGGGGGTGTGTGTCTCTCGGGGTCTGTGTGTCTCTCGGGGTTCTGTGTGTGTCTCTCGGGGTCTGTGTGTGTCTCTCGGGGTGTGTGTGTGTCTCTCGGGGTCAGTGTGTGTCTCTCGGGGTCTGTGTGTGTCTCTCGGGGTCTGTGTGTGTCTCTCGGGGTCTGTGTGTGTCTCTCGGGGTCTGTGTGTGTCTCTCAGGGTCTGTGTGTGTCTCTCCGGGGTGTGTGTGTGTGTGTCTCTCGGGTGTGTGTGTGTGTCTCTCGGGGTGTGTGTGTACTCTCGGGGGTCTGTGTGTGTCTCTCGGGGTCTGTGTGTCTCTCGGGGTCTGTGTGTGTCTCTCGGGGTCTGTGTGTGCAAACCATAAAATCCTCTCCGGGGGGTGTGTGTGTCTCTCGGGGTCTGTGTGTGTCTCTCGGGGTCTGTGTGTGTCTCATTCTCAGGGTCTGTGTGTGTCTCTCGGGGTGTGTGTGTGTGTCTCTCGGGGTGTGTGTGTGTCTCTCGGGGTTTTGTGTGTGTGTGTCCCTCTCGGGGTCTGTGTGTGTCTCTCGGGGTCTGTGTGTCTCTCGGGGTCTGTGTGTGTCTCTCGGGGTCTGTGTGTGTCAATTCGGGGTGTGTGTGTGTCTCTCGGGGTCTGTGTGTGTCTCCATTCATCATATACAGTGGGGGGAATACTGATTTGCCCCCCTGCAGATGGTGTCGGTTCCCCCCCCCCCCTTACAGAGAGATGATCGGTCTATAGATTGTATCCTCGGTGTATATAAAATGATGGAGAAGAAAATCGACCGAACATCCAAAAGCACACCATACAAATGTCATGAATGGAGTCGCAGTTCAGGGAGTACAAGAAGGATTTGATCCCCACCAAAACCAACACTGATTCTGGCTCCACAGACTGGCTCTGGGCTCATGTGGTACACAGATCAGTCCTGTCCATGGAAGGAGGTCCCCTACCGACAACAAAACGTTCTGTGTATGAAGGGCATCTGTCCTCAGAATTTCTTCCATCCAAACATCACCAACCACCACCCACCATCCATCATCACCACTACCATCAACCCCCACACCACAACCCCCCAACCATCACCACCCCCCCCCCCCCCCCCAACCCCCCACCACCACCACACACCCCCCCCACAACACCCCACCCCACCACCAACCACCCCCCACCAAACCAAAACCAAACCATTACCACCCACCATCACCAACTCCCAAAAATCACCACCACCATTAACCCCCCACCATAAACCACAACCACCACGACACCCCCTCACCCCCTCCCCATCCAACCCCCCCCCACCACCAACCACCCCCCACCAACCCCACCACCATCACCCACCACCACCACCACAACCCACCACTAACCCACCATCACCACTACCACCACCATCACCACCACCACCACCTCAGGAAGACACATGTCCAGGCCCATCTGAAGTTTTCCACTGAACATCTGAATGATGCAGAGGAGGACTGGTTGATAGTGTTGTGGTCAGATGACACCAAAATCCAGCTCTTTGGCATCAACTCAACTCACCGTTTTTGGAGGAGGAGGAATGCTGCCTATGACCCCAAGAACACCATCCCAACTGTGAGACATGGTGGTGGAAACATTCTGCTTTGGGGGTGTTTTTTCTGCTAAGTGGACAGGACAATTGCACCGCATCAAAGGGACGATGGATGGGGCAATGTACCATCAAATCTTAGGTGAGAACATTCTTCCCTCAGCCAGGGCATTGAAAATGGGTCGTGGATGGGTGTTCCATCATGACAATGACCCAAAACACACGGACAAGGCAACAAAGGAGCGGCTCAAGAAGAAGCACATTAAGGTCCTGGAATGGCCTAGCCAGTCTCCACACCTTCATCCTGTAGAAAATGTATAGAGGGAGCTGAAAGTTCGAGTGGCCAAGTGATAGCCAGGAAACCTTCAGGATTTAGAGAGGATCTGTAAGAGTGGACTGACATCCCTCCTAAGATGAGTGCAAACCTGGGAACTGACTAAAAGAAATGTCTCACCTCTGTGCTCGCCAACAAGGGTTCCTCCACCAACTACAAGGAACGTCTCACCTCTGTGCACACCAAAAAAGGTTCCTCCACCAACTACAAGGAACGTCTCACCTCTGTGCTTCCAACAAGGGTTCCTCCTCCAAATACAAGGAACGTCTCACCTCTGTGCTTGCCAACAAGGGTTCGCCAACAACTACAAGAGATGTCTGACCTCTGTGCTTCCAACAAGAGATCCTCCACCAACTAAAAGGAACGTGTCAGCTCTATGCTCGCTATCAAGGGTTCCTCCACCAGCTACAAGAGATGTCTCACCTGTGTGCTCACCAACAAGGGTTCCTCCACCAACTACAAGGGACGTCTCACCTCTGTGTTCACCAACAACTAAAAGGAACGTGTCAGCTCTGTGCTCACCAACAAGGGTTCCTCCACCAACTACAAGGAATGTCTCACCTCTGTGCTCGCCAACAAGGGTTCCTCCACCAACTACAAGAGACGTCTCACCTCTGTGATTCCAACAAGGGTTCCTCCACCAACTACAAGGAACGTCTCACCTCTGTGTTCGCCAACAACTAAAAGGAACGTGTCAGCTCTGTGCTCACCAACAAGGGTTCCTCCACCAGCTACAAGAGACTTCTCACCTCTGTGCTCACCAACAAGGGTTCCTCCACCAACTACAAGGAACGTCTCGCCTCTGTACTTCCAACAAGGGTTCCTCCACCAACTACAAGGAATGTCTCACCTCTGTGCTCGTCAACAAGGGTTCCTCCACCAACTACAAGGAATGTCTCACCTCTGTGCTCACCAACAAGTGTTCCTCCACCAACTACAAGGAACGTCTCACCTCTGTGTTCGCCAACAAGGGTTCCTCCACCAACTACAAGAGACGTCTCACCTCTGTGCTCGCCAACAAGGGTTCCTCCACCAACTACATGGAACGTCTCACCTCTGTGCTCACCAACAAGGGTTCCTCCACCAACTACATGGAACGTCTCACCTCTGTGCTCACCACCAAGGGTTCCTGTACAACTACAAGGGAATGTCTCACCTCTGTGCTCGCCAACAAGGGTTCCTCCACCAACTACAAGGAACGTCTCACCTCTGTGCTCGCCAACAAGGGTTCCTCCACCAACTACAAGAGACGTCTCACCTCTGTGCTCACCAACAAGGGTTCCTCCACCAACTATAAGGAACGTCTCACTTCTGTGCTCACCAACAAGGGTTCCTCCACCAACTACAAAGAACGTCTCACCTCTGTGCTCGCCAACAAGGGTTCCTCCACCAACTACAAGGAACGTCTCACCTCTGTGCTCACCAACAAGGGTTCCTCCACCAACTATAAGGAACGTCTCACTTCTGTGCTCGCCAACAAGGGTTCCTCCACCAACTATAAGGAACATCTCACTTCTGTGCTCACCAACAAGGGTTCCTCCACCAACTACATGGAACATCTCACTTCTGTGCTCACCAACAAGGGTTCCTCCACCAACTATAAGGAACATCTCACTTCTGTGCTCGCCAACAAGGGTTCCTCCACCAACTATAAGGAACGTCTCACTTCTGTGCTCACCAACAAGGGTTCCTCCACCAACTATAAGGAACATCTCACTTCTGTGCTCACCAACAAGGGTTCCTCCACCAACTATAAGGAACGTCTCACTTCTGTGCTCACCAACAAGGGTTCCTCCACCAACTATAAGGAACATCTCACCTCTGTGCTCACCAACAAGGTTTCTCCACCAAGTACCAGGTCATGTTTTGCTCGGGGATCGAATACTTATTGTACTCCCTGGAGTGTGACTACATTTATAACATTTGTATCATTTGTTTGTTCTGGATGTTCGGTCGATTTTCTGTCTCTATCATTTATATACACCGAGGATACAATCTATAGACCGATAATCTCTCTGTAAGGGGGCGAACCGACAGCATCTGCAGGGGAGCAGATCAGTATTCCCCCCCCCATAGCATTCTTCCTTCCTCCATCCATTGGGGGGGGGGGGGGGGGGGGGATTATGATTCGGTCATGTGACCTGGACTACTCTTGTTATTTTATGATGTAATCAGGTGAACTTTATCATCTTCCTGCGGATTCTGAGGATTCTGGTGCTGAAACTACGAGCCAATCAGATGAGGAGGAGTGACCGCAAATACAGGTGAGCTGGTCACATGGCGGCAGATTATTATCCATCACCGTCTGTCCACTGTGATAAGTTGCCCCACCCCCTCCCCAGTGGTGGTCAGTCATGTAGAGCGCCCCTGGTGGTGCCCATGAGAATGCACTATGCAGGAATATGCTGGTAGAGGTCACATTATAAAATGGAGGCCTGTCATTGGTCATCTCCACACCATGGATCTCACCAATACAGTAATGGCTTCTCTTTTCCCTCCATTACCAGGTTGGCCAAATCCACTCTGACCTTGATCCCCCTTCTGGGGATTCATGAGGCCGTCTTCAATCTGATCCCGGAGGAGAGCGCACGGGGCCGCATCCGGTACAGCAAGCTGGGCCTGGAGTTATTGCTGAGCTCTTTTCACGTAAGAGATCTCCCTAGATCTGAGCACATGATTGGCCAGCTGGGGGCAGCCAACATTTCCATTGGTTGGGGGTCTTAGGGTGGATCAGTCCTTCCCGTATCTCCATAGTGAAGGGAAGACATTTATCTGTCTCTGGGTGGAGTCAGTGTGAGATGGAGGTGGGGCTTCTCCCCGACCATGGATCAATGATATGTATTGATAAACCTACAATCAGTGATATGTATTGATTGCCAATGATCTGCCTGTCTGTGTCATGTGATCTCTCCGTAGGGACTGCTGGTCGCTGTGCTCTACTGTATATGCAACAAGGAGGTGAGTGCAATCCCTACTGTATGGCCTCCTCTCCGACTTCTCTGCTCCCATCATCATAAACTCCTCCTCTTCTTTCCTGTCTCAGGCTGTTATTCCCATCAGATCTCTGTCCTCCTCGGTGTCTCCTCCTCTGGTGATCTCTGTCCTCTGGTGATCTTTGTCCTTCTCAGTGTCTCCTCCTCTAGTGATCTCTGTCCTCCTCGGTGTCTTCATCTCTAATGATCTCTGTCCTCCTCGGTGTCTCCATCTCTGGTGATCTCTGTCCTCCTTGGTTTCTCCTCCTCTGGTGATCTCTGTCCTCCTCAGTGTCTCCTTTGATGATCTCTGTCCTCCTCGGTGTCTCCTCCTCTGCTGATCTCTGTCCTCCTCAGTCTTTCCTCTGGTGATCTCTGTCCTCCTCTGGTGATCTCTGTCCTCTTCGGTGTCTCCTCCTCTGGTGATCTCTGTCCTCTTCGGTGTCTCCTCCTCTGCTGATCTCTGTCCTCTTCGGTGTCTCCTCCTCTGCTGATCTCTGTCCTCCTTGGTGTCTCCATCTCTGGTGATCTCTGTCTTCCTCAGTGTTTCCTCTTGTGATCTCAGTCTTTCCTCTGGTGATCTCTGTCCTCCTCAGTCTGTACATCTCTGGTGATCTCTGTCCTCCTCAGTCTTTCCTCTGGTGATCTCTGTGCTCCTCAGTCTCTACATCTCTGGTGATCTCTGTCCTCCTCGGTGTCTCCTCCTCTGGTGATCTCTGTCCTCCTTGGTATCTCCTCCTCTGGTGATCTCTGTCCTCCTCTGGTGATCTCTGTCCTCCTCAGTCTTTCCTCTGGTGATCTCTGTCCTCCTCAGTCTTTCCTCTGGTGATCTCTGTGCTCCTCAGTCTCTACATCTCTGGTGATCTCTGTCCTCCTTGGTGTCTCCTCCTCTGGTGATCTCTGTCCTCCTCTGGTGATCTCTGTCCTCCTCAGTCTTTCCTCTGGTGATCTCTGTGCTCCTCAGTCTCTACATCTCTGGTGATCTCTGTCCTCCTCGGTGTCTCCTCCTCTGGTGATCTCTGTCCTCCTTGGTGTCTCCTCCTCTGGTGATCTCTGTCCTCCTCTGGTGATCTCTGTCCTCCTCAGTCTTTCCTCTGGTGATCTCTGTGCTCCTCAGTCTCTACATCTCTGGTGATCTCTGTCCTCCTTGGTGTCTCCTCCTCTGGTGATCTCTGTCCTCCTCTGGTGATCTCTGTCCTCCTCTGGTGATCTCTGTCCTCCTCAGTCTTTCCTCTGGTGATCTCTGTGCTCCTCAGTCTCTACATCTCTGGTGATCTCTGTCCTCCTTGGTGTCTCCTCCTCTGGTGATCTCTGTCCTCCTCTGGTGATCTCTGTCCTCCTCAGTCTTTCCTCTGGTGATCTCTGTGCTCCTCAGTCTCTACATCTCTGGTGATCTCTGTCCTCCTTGGTGTCTCCTCCTCTGGTGATCTCTGTCCTCCTCTGGTGATCTCTGTCCTCCTCTGGTGATCTCTGTCCTCCTCTGGTGATCTCTGTCCTCCTCTGGTGATCTCTGTCCTCCTCTGGTGATCTCTGTCCTCCTCAGTCTTTCCTCTGGTGATCTCTGTGCTCCTCAGTCTCTACATCTCTGGTGATCTCTGTCCTCCTTGGTGTCTCCTCCTCTGGTGATCTCTGTCCTCCTCTGGTGATCTCTGTCCTCCTCAGTCTTTCCTCTGGTGATCTCTGTGCTCCTCAGTCTCTACATCTCTGGTGATCTCTGTCCTCCTTGGTGTCTCCTCCTCTGGTGATCTCTGTCCTCCTCTGGTGATCTCTGTCCTCCTCTGGTGATCTCTGTCCTCCTCTGGTGATCTCTGTCCTCCTCTGGTGATCTCTGTCCTCCTCAGTCTTTCCTCTGGTGATCTCTGTGCTCCTCAGTCTCTACATCTCTGGTGATCTCTGTCCTCCTTGGTGTCTCCTCCTCTGGTGATCTCTGTCCTCCTCTGGTGATCTCTGTCCTCCTCTGGTGATCTCTGTCCTCCTCTGGTGATCTCTGTCCTCCTCTGGTGATCTCTGTCCTCCTCAGTCTTTCCTCTGGTGATCTCTGTGCTCCTCAGTCTCTACATCTCTGGTGATCTCTGTCCTCCTCGGTGTCTCCTCCTCTGGTGATCTCTGTCCTCCTCTGGTGATCTCTGTCCTCCTCAGTCTTTCCTCTGGTGATCTCTGTCCTCCTCTGGTGATCTCTGTCCTCCTCAGTCTTTCCTCTGGTGATCTCTGTCCTCCTCTGGTGATCTCTGTCCTCCTCAGTCTTTCCTCTGGTGATCTCTGTGCTCCTCAGTCTCTACATCTCTGGTGATCTCTGTCCTCCTTGGTGTCTCCTCCTCTGGTGATCTCTGTCGTCCTCTGGTGATCTCTGTCCTCCTCAGTCTTTCCTCTGGTGATCTCTGTGCTCCTCAGTCTCTACATCTCTGGTGATCTCTGTCCTCCCTATTCATCAGGTTCAGGCAGAGTTGCGCAGGAAGTTGAAGGACACATTTTACACGGGAACATACTTCGTCTACATCCACATCCCTGCCCCCTCCTCCGGGAAGACCCACGCTGGGGAAGACCTGATGTCTGACAGTTCAGAGGCCCCCCAGCCCGTGTCCCGCGGCAGGCAGCGTTAGGATGAATCTGCCGCACTTATGTATTTATTGTTTGTCATATTTCCTCTTCTGGTCATTAAATCTTGTGAAGAAGCAAACAATTCATTCTTCTCTGTAACCCGCTCACAGCTCCTCATCCTGACCGGAGGCCAAGTCACCAAAGGCTGCCTCGTCCATGCTGAGGGTATGGGGGGGTATTAGCTCCGCCTCGTCCATGCTGAGGGTATCGGGGGTATTAGCTCCGCCTCTTCCATGCTGAGCGTATCGGGGGTATTAGCTCCGCCTCTTCCATGCTGAGGGTATCGGGGGTATTAGCTCCGCCTCTTCCATGCTGAGGGTATCGGGGGTATTAGTTCCGCCTCTTCCATGCTGAGGGTATCGGGGGTATTAGCTCCGCCTCTTCCATGCTGAGGGTATCGGGGGTATTAGCTCCGCCTCGTCCATGCTGAGGGTATCGGGGGTATTAGCTCCGCCTCGTCCATGCTGAGGGTATCGGGGGTATTAGCTCCGCCTCGTCCATGCTGAGGGTATCGGGGGTATTAGCTCCGCCTCTTCCATGCTGAGGGTATCGGGGGTATTAGCTCCGCCTCTTCCATGCTGAGGGTATCGGGGGTATTAGCTCCGCCTCGTCCATGCTGAGGGTATCGGGGGTATTAGCTCCGCCTCTTCCATGCTGAGGGTATCGGGGGTATTAGCTCCGCCTCGTCCATGCTGAGGGTATCGGGGGTATTAGCTCCGCCTCTTCCATGCTGAGGGTATCGTGGGTATTAGCTCCGCCTCGTCCATGCTGAGGGTATCGGGGGTATTAGCTCCGCCTCGTCCATGCTGAGGGTATCAGGGGTATTAGCTCCGCCTCCTCCATGGGGCAGGGGGTGTCGGGTATTAGCCCCGCCTCCTCCATGAAGGGGAGTCCGGGGTAGTGGATGTGATGGCTGGTATCAGCAATGCCCCCACCTCCAGCGGCAGGCGTCGTGTATATACAGGGATGATATTCCTCTGTGACATGAAAGGTGCGGTCAGGTGACTATCATGGGTATATATCACATGTTCACATGGGTGCAGGTCATTGAGGAGTGTTCCAGAAGGTCACATGGGTGCAAGTCATTGAGGAGTGTTCCACCAGCAGGTCAGATGGGTGCAGGTCATTGAGGAGTGTTCCACCAGAAGGTCACATGGGTGCAGGTCATTGAGGAGTGTTCCACCAGAAGGTCACATGGGTGCAGGTCATTGAGGAGTGTTCCACCAGAAGGTCACATGGGTGCAGGTCATTGAGGAGTGTTCCACCAGAAGGTCACAAGGGTGCAGGTCATTGAGCAGTGATCCACCAGAAGGTCACATGGGTGCAGGTCATTGAGGAGTGTTCCACCAGAAGGTCACATGGGTGCAGGTCATTGAGGAGTGTTCCACCAGAAGGTCACATGGGTGCCGGTCATTGAGGAGTGTTCCACCAGAAGGTCACATGGGTGCAGGTCATTGAGCAGTGATCCAGCAGAAGGTCACATGGGTGCAGGTCATTGAGGAGTGTTCCACCAGAAGGTCACATGGGTGCAGGTCATTGAGGAGTGTTCCACCAGAAGGTCACATGGGTGCAGGTCATTGAGGAGTGTTCCACCAGAAGGTCACATGGGTGCCGGTCATTGAGGAGTGTTCCACCAGCAGGTCAGATGGGTGCAGGTCATTGAGGAGTGTTCCACCAGAAGGTCACATGGGTGCAGGTCATTGAGCAGTGATCCAGCAGAAGGTCACATGGGTGCTGGTCACTGAGGAATGTTCCACCAGAAGGTCACATGGGTGCAGGTCATTGAGGAGTGTTCCACCAGGTCACATGGGTGCAGGTTATTGAGGAGTGTTCCACCAGAAGGTCACATGGATGCAGGTCATTGAGGAGTGTTCCACCAGCAGGTCAGATGGGTGCAGGTCATTGAGGAGTGTTCCACCAGAAGGTCACATGGGTGCAGGTCATTGAGCAGTGATCCAGCAGAAGGTCACATGGGTGCTGGTCACTGAGGAATGTTCCACCAGAAGGTCACATGGGTGCAGGTCATTGAGGAGTGTTCCACCAGGTTACATGGGTACAGGTCATTGAGGAGTGATCCAGCAGAAGGTCACATGGGTGCCGGTCACTGAGGAGTGTTCCACCAGGTCACATGGGTACAGGTCATTGAGGAGTGTTCCACCAGGTCACATGGGTGCAGGTTATTGAGGAGTGTTCCACCAGAAGGTCACAAGGGTGCAGGTCATTGAGGAGGAGTGTTCCACCAGAAGGTCACATGGGTACAGGTCATTGAGGAGTGTTCCACCAGAAGGTCACAAGGGTGCAGGTCAGAGGAGTGTTCCACCAGAAGGTCACGTGGGTGCAGGTCATTGAGGAGTGTTCCACCAGAAGGTCACGTGGGTGCAGGTCATTGAGGAGTGTTCCACCAGAAGGTCACGTGGGTGCAGGTCCTTGAGGAGTGTTCCACCAGAAGGTCACGTGGGTGCAGGTCATTGAGGAGTGTTCCACCAGAAGGTCACGTGGGTGCAGGTCATTGAGGAGTGTTCCACCAGAAGGTCACATGGGTACAGGTCATTGAGGAGTGTTCCACCAGAAGGTCACAAGGGTGCAGGTCAGAGGAGTGTTCCACCAGAAGGTCACATGGGTGCAGGTCATTGAGGAGTGTTCCACCAGAAGGTCACATGGGTACAGGTCATTGAGGAGTGTTCCACCAGAAGGTCACGTGGGTGCAGGTCATTGAGGAGTGTTCCACCAGAAGGTCACGTGGGTACAGGTCATTGAGGAGTGTTCCACCAGAAGGTCACAAGGGTGCAGGTCATTGAGGAGTGTTCCTCCAGAAGGTCACATGGGTGCAGGTCATTGAGGAGTGTTCCACCAGAAGGTCACATGGGTGCAGGTCATAGAGGAGTGTTCCACCAGAAGGTCACATGGGTGCAGGTCAGAGGAGTGTTCCACCAGCAGGTCACATGGGTGCAGGTCATTGAGGAGTGTTCCACCAGAAGGTCACAAGGGTGCAGGTCAGAGGAGTGTTCCACCAGAAGGTCACGTGGGTACAGGTCATTGAGGAGTGTTCCACCAGAAGGTCACAAGGGTGCAGGTCAGAGGAGTGTTCCACCAGAAGGTCACATGGGTGCAGGTCATTGAGGAGTGTTCCACCAGAAGGTCACGTGGGTGCAGGTCCTTGAGGAGTGATCCACCAGAAGGTCACGTGGGTGCAGGTCATTGAGAAGTGTTCCACCAGAAGGTCACGTGGGTGCAGGTCATTGAGGAGTGTTCCACCAGAAGGTCACGTGGGTGCAGGTCATTGAGGAGTGTTCCACCAGAAGGTCACGTGGGTGCAGGTCATTGAGGAGTGTTCCACCAGAAGGTCACAAGGGTGCAGGTCAGAGGAGTGTTCCACCAGCAGGTCACGTGGGTGCAGGTCATTGAGGAGTGTTCCACCAGAAGGTCACGTGGGTGCAGGTCCTTGAGAGGAGTGTTCCACCAGAAGGTCACGTGGGTGCAGGTCATTGAGGAGTGTTCCACCAGAAGGTCACGTGGGTGCAGGTCATTGAGGAGTGTTCCACCAGAAGGTCACAAGGGTGCAGGTCAGAGGAGTGTTCCACCAGCAGGTCACATGGGTGCAGGCCATTATTCCACCAGTAGGTTGTCTGCACTTCCAGGTGTTGTAGTTCTGGTATTGTCAGGTCTTGGTGGATCAGACCGATTTTGGACGATTACTTTTCAGTGAGGAGGGCAGTTTGTCGTGTGGCAATCATGATTACATCAGAGAGGCCAGAAGAGGACGCAGTGTCCACATCTGATTGCCTTTCCTCTCGGTGTGGTTGGCGCCGCCCTGCTGGCTATTATTTCCCGGAGAAATTCCTGAGGCAGAGGGGCAGATCCTGATCCTAGTACGAAACGTTTCCCTTGGGCGATCGTCAGGCTTCGCTCTTCGTGATCGATCGCTGGATGATGTGACTGACAACGGATGTACAATGCTGGATGGTTTTTGGGGTTTTTTTTTTATTAAAGGACGTGTCAAACGTTTGTGTTTATTTCCTATTGGCCGAGTCGGGGTACCGTGTGTTCTTTACTTCTTCCTGTAGGGGGTGGTATCTATCAGCTCCCTTATCCTAAAGGGGGTTCCACATTCCAATAGGTTCCCCCTGCACCCCCAAAACCACCAGGCCAGGGTGGTGGTCCTTGTCCTCATCAGCATGGGGGTGGACTGCGGTGTAGGTACATAGTGGGCCGTATACATTGGACATCATGCCAGAACAGGTTCATTCCGCACCCAAGGGGAAGGGCCAAAGCACACCCCTCCCCCAGGTTGCAGGTCTGTCACTTTTTGTGACCCCCCTCCCTGCCCCTGTCCCGGCTACCATAATGACCATTTATAAATGGAAGGAAGTATCATCTTCTGGTCAGACTCAGGGAACGCCATCACATCCCATAGCAGGTCTGAGGGCCCTAGGTGGAGGGCCCCCTCCTCCCCGTGTTCAGTAGAATTCTCCTCACACTGGATTCAGTTCCTCTGGTTGTGTCTCGGCTCCGGCGCGGCTCGCAGTGGGATATTGATTGTGTGGTCTCAGCTGGAAGAGCGGTTCTCTGACCTTTGTCAGGATTACGTTTCTGTCCCACAGGGCTGACACTCTAATCATCCCGCTGGCTGTAGGATCAGAGATTTCCCCGAAGTGTTTGCTCAGCTTGGCAGAGAATTAGAGGAACCATCGATGTTTCATTATCTGGGATAACCGGAGAGTCTCTGTGGATAATGACGGCTAACAATGTCTCACCAGATCCTCAAACCTCATAGAGGTCATCATAAAATGCCTGGGTGGAGCTGAACCCCGGGGCCCATCATCAATGTACAGCGCCGGGGCCCAGGTTGGTGCTTTACAGATAACGGATGATCAGATGGTGATCTCAGTGATTA